TTGTCTGAGTACATTCTGGACTCTGTCCGAAGCGCTTCTCTTTGAGTCTGACTACTGTGGGGAGGTCGCAAGTTATCTCTCTCATTTCATTCAACAAGGCAAGACAGAAAACAAAAATTCAGCCGAGGCTCTCGAAGCCTCTAACCACTAAAGCCGACTGTCGATGAAAGTGGCGGTACACGAGGTACCTGTGCAGACTATCCCCAAACAGGTGAGTTCATTTGGTGCGACATGCTGAAACAAGGCAAAAAGCAACATCGCCATGTCTGCAACTCTGAGCTCTGCTTGAACGTGCCAAAAGCGATGGGCATGCCGCCTTAGCGATCTTCGCTCTAGGCGGCCGTTGCTGTTCTTCGGGAGCGTGACATACATCTTGCGCAACTCCTGAACCAGGAAAGGCTGAAGGAGCCCAAAGAGCCACGAGAAAGCGGCGCTTTATGGTTCCGTGTGCCTCTTCGGTGGCCTGCAGATGCTCCGCAGTGACCTCCCCCCCACAGCCCAGTGCCTGTCAAAACGGGTGTCGCTTCTCCGGGTCGCGTAGAAGGCCCTGCCATGCCCTGCACCATGCCCTGCACCATGCCCTGCACCATGCCCTGCCCGGCCCCCTTCATGGTGCCGCCGGTTGCCTCGTTCATGGCATTCCGGACCTCCCACTTGAAAGCTTCTGCGTCCAGATTGCGAGCCTGGCTATAAGGCACGAGGTTGCAGCGAAACTTGCAACTAAGGAGCCATGGAAACAACGCAAACATAAACGCCGGCAGCACTCGCAGACCCTTCTTCTCAACAAGAAAGCCATCAGAACGCCCGTTCGCTGAGAGGGGGCAAATTGCTACCTGGCACAGACATAGAGACCAATTGATGTGGAACAAGCCACTTAGAGCGCGAAGCCTGTATCAACGCAAGAAGTGCCCATCTGCCTTGAGCCATGACCTTAAGTTTGCAAACACTTTGCCGGCAACATGCGATCACATGTCACAGCCCTCCCTGCTGACTGAATTAAGCTGACAACCACCTCTGATTGTAAAGTCCGTAATAAACGTGGAACCACGCGCAAACCTCAGGCTGTCCATAAAAGTGTACTCGAAGTGGAAGACTGCACTCACTGCGCATTCAAATGCACAGCATCCGAGGTCGCGCACGTGAAGATCTGGGGGGTTTCGATAGCGCCAGAGTTCCAGGCTCTGTTCTTGAGCCGAGGCGGTCACAAAATGATGACACCGACGTGCTACCATGCTCTCTCGCGTCGCTGTACAGAAGTATGGGTGCAACACTGTCGTCAACCTGCAGAAGATATTGAAGATGAAACTAGGCAACTGACCTTGCGTATCCGGCCCATCAGCACAGCAGATGGGTTCAAGCCAGCAATGGAGCCTGGTCAAGATACCACGACAAGAAAGCTAGTGTCGCAGTGAGCTTTTCAACAACCACGGATGAACAAAACTGTGGACGGTGCTTGTTGATGGCTAGTGGTACGAATCGTGTACATCCCGAAGGCAAGGCCCGAGCTTTCTGTGCTGCGCGCGCTTTCTGTTATGGAGGGAAGCGCCAGGCCCGCCACAAGAACTTACAGAACTCTACTTGGAGTCCTCAAAACCCTCGGTACAACAGCACAGCCGGTGAGTTCGCAACGAAAGTGGGGCTGGAGTCGGTGTGCCAAGGCCATCAGGCGCTCTCTTTGATCACTCCTTCCACCTCCAATGCTCACAGGGCCTATCTTCTGCTGCCCTGTAATCCACACCTGATGCGTCACCGCAGACGCGACACAAAAATGCGCCAAAATGAACTACATCTTTGCATCGTGCATCTCAACTGGGGATTGTTGTTGAGATCCTGCAAAAGCACTGTTGGCCCGTCAGGCGCAAAATGACTTTCGCCATGGCCACGGAAAGACATGGCAATGGAAGGATGCAGTGGAACTGCTGTGTTCAGTTGAGAGCCACGGGCAGAGGCGAAAGCTCTGTTTGCGAGGAGACCGCCGGGCAGGGGGCGCCGACCCCTAGTCCCAAATCCGCAACCCCAAACCCTAAACGCTTGAATGTGCTGCATTTCTGATTGCTCACCGGCTTTGTCTGCTTTTGCCCGTTGGATTTAGCGCGTGCTGCTCATCCCCTGAAGTCTCTACTTCTTGTTGAAGCTGTTCCGACCCTCAAACCGCTTCATTCAAAGCCACTTCAAAACTCAAGGATTCCGAAACATTCCGAATGTTCCACCGAGTTGTTCTTCCTTAAGCAAAGCCATTGCCATTATCGGGCGTCCTTCGGCCATGACGGCTTGTTGCAGATGCGCCGGCCTCGCACGGAAAGGCAGTGACTCCTGGAAAAAAGTGATACTGGTGACCGTGGCACAGGCAGCGCTCTCAGCGCTTGCTCGGAGTTCTGGTCGGCACCCGCAGAGCGGCAGAAGACACCGATGACCTTGCCGTCCCAGCACTTCACCACGTTCGCTTGAGCTTACTAAGTTGACTGAGCTCCGTGCATCGCTAGCCCCTACAGCAGCTGGAACGATGCTGGTGACCAGCGCCAGGGGAGCGCCAAAGCCCGAGCTGGTCACCAAAGCCGTCGTCTCTTTCTTGGGCTTTTCTGGTGAGTCTGAGCCTGGAACGCAAGGCGCATGTGTCTCGAAAACCTGACAATCCTAACAACAAAGCTCGGCAGCAGGCCAGAGGACTCATCTTTGGACCTGGATGCTGAATATTTCCGCTGGAACGTTCGGCTCAGCCACTACGGCCATCTACGGACGCTGTGTTCACGAACTGTCAGATGAACCCTCTATATGTTTGACTCCAGCAAAATCGAATATGCCTCGCTTCGATGCCTATAAACTCTACGGCGCACTCAAGCGGGCGCAAGACGGGGGGAGGGAACCCGAGGGAACAACCAGAATGGAAAGTACTTCAACAGACCATAACAGACCTCATGCTCTTTAGCCTGATGAAACCCAGAAGCTGCTCAAAAAGCATAGCTGAGGTTGGCTTCCGCTCAGTTGGGACGTGTCCTCTTTGGGCCCTGTCATCATCAAATCAAATCCTGTCTTGGATAAACTATGAGGAAGGGTCCACTATAAAATGGCTGAGCTTGGCTATGCTGGGTTTCACTAACAGACTCCACCAATGGACCTTTGCTTCGGCTGGGGCTCAGTTGTCAAAGAGAACAGTCCACGAACTACAGGCAAGGAAGGTACCCAAAACCCACCATGAACCACACGGAGGAAAGGGGGTGGGGGGGGGGGGAACCACGGAGAGAAAGGGGGGGGGGGGGGGGGGGGGTGGGGGGGAAAGGTGAATGCTGGCGCAGAAAAGGTTGACAGGGTTCTGAGGGTTCAGAGGGTTCTTTGATTTAGAGGGTTCGTAGGGTTTCGGGTTTTGGAGTCGAGAAGGTTGTTAGGTTCACGTTTCAGGGTTTTTAGGGTTCAGGGTTTGAAGGGTTTAGGGCGTTTTAGGTTTCAGGGCTTTAGGGCTTCTAGGGTTTATAAACCTACAACCGAAAACCCTAAACAAACCGAGAAGCCCTAAACCCTAGAAGCCCAAGAACCGTAACACCCTAAATCCGTTCAGGGCTTGTAGGGTTCAGGGCTTTTCGGGTTTTTGGGACTTTTTTGGCTTTTGAGTCCTTGAGGTTTGTTGGGTCTTGGTTTTTGTTTTAGCTTTCTGGGCTTTTCACCAACAACTAGCTCTGCGCAAACCAGCCCAGAGCGACACTCAAACCAACTGCAGTGCTGACACGGACACAAGAAAACACTCTATTGGTACACTGCTCAGGCAGGTACCGGCTACGTTCTCGCCGTCGCTTGTCCCGGCGATCCTGAGAGGTCACCAAGAAGCGATAACAAAAAGCCGAGGCAAGCGGCTACATCTTAGTGCCTTCGGAATCGGGCCTTGCGCTCGGGGCTTGGGTGGCTTGGGCTGGAGCTGCGCTTCCTAAGCTTCTTCCTTGTCTCCGGCCTTGGCAAGTTGGTCAGGGTTACCGACATTGCGTGTTCGATCGTGTATAGTCGCACGGAATGGCCAATTCGGACCAGCGGCTGCGGCTTCTTCTTCTCAACCTTGCCAGGGCTCGATTGAAGCCGAGAACTACTTAAAGTACAAACAAAACTACATTGTGAACACACATTGTGAACACACATTGTGAACACACATTGTGAAGACACATTGGGCCTTCTTGTCCTTTTCTCTGAGGCCCTTGATAGCGGCGAGGAAAGCCAACTTGTCCTTCTCCTTCTCCTTCTCAATGTCATCGTCACTGTCCTCTTCCTTTCGAGCCTTATCCACATCACCTTTGGGTCTGGCTTTAGGCTTTTCCTTGCCTTTTTCCTTCTCACGCTCCTTCTCCTTCCTCAACTTCTCCTTCTTGTCTTTTTCGGTCTCCTTTACTAAATGCCCTCTCTTCGTACCAGAGATGTGCACTCTGTACAAATGCAGCACAAATGGCCTTCTTATCCTTCTTCTCCTTTCTCTTCTCCTCCACGAAGACTTGGGAACTGAGAATCAAATGCGAATGATTATTGCCCAGTCCTTCAGCTTCACATCGCTCCCCTCAGATGAAGCCTTGGAACAGCAAAAAAGGAACTATGTTCCATTACCCAAACTCGAAAATTATTGAGCGCTTGGCTCTGCCCATCGCACGACCGGTATCACGTGTGCCAAACACACTGCATGACTTGTCTCTAAGACTTCTACGCAAAGCTGCGGGGCTTGGTTCTCGAGACTGTTGCCCAAACGGGGTGCGTTGCTGTTGCTGCCTACTGGACTTCGTTGCGGAAGACTGCACAAGAGGCATATCACTTACTAACACACGTTCAAGTACCATGCTCAAGGACAGCTGACCATTGCCGATCTAGACTTATCACCATATCGCGGCTATGAAACGAAATGCCCGACGAGCCAAGGTACACAAAGGCCACGGCAGAACAGGCCATGTCTGACAGTTTCTCTCTCTCTCTCTCTCTCACTCTTTCTTTCTCTCTCTCCCTCTGTGCAAGTCTTGAAGTACGGCTGGGCGGACGAAGCTGTGTCCTGTCATGGAACGGAAAGAAAGCCAACGTGACATGACCTGTCAAGCCCTGGCCACTCGGCACGTTGACATGCAAGTCCCATGCCGCCTCGCACTCCGCAGGCTTGGAGTGCACAGTGAGAGCACCTTGGTGAAGAAGTGGGTATCAGCATGCATCAGCTGCTATCAGCCATCCGCAGCCATCTCATGCAATGCTCAGTGCTGGACCAGTGCTGACTTCTTCAATTCCCGACACGCTTTTGATGGCTGCAGCCTCAGAAGTTGCGACATGTAGACGTAAACAATGCAGCCGGCCTATGCAGATCAACCAAGATCCTGGCGACTTTTGAATCCATTGTGCCACTATCCAACACCTGCCTGCATTACGCTGCAAGATTGCATTGATTGCAACTAGGCCTGTGCAACGGTTGGCGCGCCTCACGGCAAGCGTGCTGGCATTTCTGGGCACGCTGATGGTGCACTTGGCGAGAGCACACATACCCACGCTTGCGAACACAGAGACAAAGAGAGAGAGAGAGAGAGAGAGAGAGAGAGAGAGAGCGAGAGAGATGGCAGTGACAAAATATGTTTGAACATTGCTTGCGGATGGAGCGGGAATCTTTGGCAGAGTCAAAACTGGTCGACACTTCGGGCTTGAGACGGTTAAGACTTGCCACAGTCAACCAATTCGTGTGACCTGCACGACCACGGCACCAGGTGTGGGCGCAATCTCTGCCACGATATCCTGCTCCTTCCAAAACCGGATTCAGCATGAGGATGAACTGCGGCTACGGAACATGAATCATGATGCAAAGCAAGTACGGCAGCCTGGAGCTTGCGCTCAACCTTCCAGTGCCGTCTTGAAATCATGCCAAATTGCGAAAAATGTCATCCTGGGTGCAGGTGCCTCGGCCACAATAGCCTGCTTGACCGCATGCTCGAACGTCTGCTGCAGCTGTGCTTTGCCAGCAAGCCTTGCTACAAAGCGGTAGCCATTCAGGGCCACATCCTTCCACAACTAGCATTGCCAGTGCCGTTCTGGGTCACATGCATGTAATAGTCGACCCCACAAACGGTTCTTGTGAAGTCAACCTTGGCAACATGAAACAAGAAACTGCTAGGCTGCACTGTCTCCTATATCCTGACATACATACGGACATACATGCATACATTCAACAATGCAAAGATATACGGGTACTTAGATACTTATACACATAGATGCATAGATGCATAGATGCATAAATGCGTAAGGCATAGAGCGCGTAGATATGTAGATACATAGCGCCACAGATACCGAAATAAATGCATAGAAACATAGATACATACCGACATGTGTGTATGTGTATGTGTATGTCTATGTCTATGTCTATGTCCATGTCTATGTCTATGTGTACTGTATGTGTGTGTGTGTGTATGTGTGTGTGTGTGTATGTGTGTGTGTGCATGTGTGTGTGTGTGTGTGTATGTGTGTGTGTGTGTGTGTGTGTGTGCATGTGTGTGTGTGTATGTGTGTGTGTATGTGTATGTGTGTGGGTATGTGTATGTGTGTATGTGTGTATGTGTGGATGTGTGTAGGTGTGTAGGTGTGTAGGTGTGTAGGTGTGTATGTGTGTATTGTGTACGTGTGTAGGTGTGTAGGCGCGTATGTGTGTATGTGTGTGTAAGTGTGTAAGTGTGTATATGTGTATATGTGTATTTGTGTATATGTGTATATGTGTATATGCATATATGCGTATATGTGTATATGTGTATATGCGTATATGGGTATATGTGTATGTTTGTATATGTGTATATGTGTATCTGTGTATCTGTGTATCTGTGTATATGTGTATATGTGTATATGTGTATATGTGTATATGTGTATATGTGTATACGTGTATATGTGTATATGTGTATATGTGTATACGTGTACATGTGTATATGTGTATATGTGTATATGTGTATATGTGTATATGTATATGAATGTGTATATAAACGTTTGCAGTTCATGCCATGACTTGAGGCGGGCTGAGTTGGACGCAGATGGCGAGTCCGCATTCAGTGGGATACTGCCAGCAGTGGGAGACGCTGCCACCTGCACTCCGCACAGCTACGGGTAGCAGCTTGACACCTGAAACAGCACATGACAGCACCAAACGCAGGCGAGCTTCCACAATTGCAGGCGCCGGGCCGGGCGCTGGGCCAGGAGCGGGCGCCGGGCCGGGCGCCGGGCCGGGTGCCATGGCAGGTGACAGAGCTGGTGCCGGAGCTGGTGCCGGAACGGGTATTGTGGGGATGGCAACTGGCAAAGCCCCATCGACCGGACCTTAAATGAAATTGGCTCGACACCGCAACGGGCTGAGTTTCATCCGGGCAGCTGGCTTAGCACAGGGCCAGGTCCGGCGGACCTTTTTTTGGATCACCATGGCAGAGTTTCAAGCATCGCTCGATCCGCATTGGGTTGCACACTTGTCCACTCGAAAGCCATCCCGGGCGAGCACCTGGCCACAAATGCACTCACAAACTGCAGGATCCAACCTGCAAAAGTGAACCCAACTGACGTCAAGACTCACTTAAGCCACTTATGCTTGTTTGCACTTGCAGTCACTTGTACTTCTTCCAAGCCTCAGATTGCAAGTCGGCCCGAACTGCGGCCACCAGCCTCGGCATGCTTCGGCAAAAGACTACGTCAAGCGTGTAGCGGGGAGTTGTGCTGAGCACACCGCGATGCAATGGCTTTCTCTTCATGGCTGGATCGCAGGAAACCTGCGCAGTTAAGTGGGCGGCAGGCTTCGCCGGTTTTGCACACGTGTTGCTGGGCTGAACCCAACTCTGAGGGTTGGACTCACAGCACCTGCTCCGGCGACCTAGAGCTCCGGCAGAGAGAAACTCGCAAAAGCTCACGTGTCCAAACCAACTTAAACTGTTCTTGTGCGGCTTTGCAGCTATGAACGGAAGCAGCCAGCTTCTCATATGCTGACCTGCAACAGGCATGTTAGGTACTCTGTCTTGCTGCGGGGGTGCTGCAATCAGTGGGAGTGACAGCCTTGTTCGCTTCGTTGACTTTCGGACACGGAAGTGGCCGCGACATGACGGCCCTTGATCCAAACGATGCGAGATCGTCAAAGAAAACGTCGCCTTTTCCCAGATGAACAGCTCGTCTATGATAAGCTCCTGTACATCCGACTGCTGTGTTCACTACACGCAAGCAGCGGCTCCACGACGCGCACTTCGATGTCGACCAAGTGCTGCAAACGGTTAGATCCCAGTGCTACTTTGCTCCGTTTTGGCAAGTTGGCCCTCAGCTGAATGCAACCGACCATGTCAAATGCTTGCCAGTGTTTCATTGACATGTTTGAATGTGCATCTGTTCATTTCTCAGGCCCATCAACCTGACATGTCGAACGTACTGAAGGTTGCAAGCTTGACAAACACAAACAGTTCGTACACATTAAATGCAGTTCGTCTTGCCATTTTATGCCAGGGCTGGGCATGTGATCTCCATGGTTTTAACTAAAACGGCTGTTGCCACGACAAGTAGTCCTGCCAACATGCATCATGCCGGACCTTTTTGGAACCGCTTCGTGCTACAGGGAAAAAACGTTTGTGGGACAACGCCCCGGCAGCCAACAGCCCTACCACTGCATTCACTGTCACAGAATTATGCGGGTACTTGACTCTTGCACATGCAGCCTGTATTGAAACATGTTGGGCACCGTCATACACAGCTGCAAAATGCTGCAACACATGTGAACGAATGCGTTCAAACATCCTGATTTCAAACACGGCGAACATGATCCGGACCTTGTTCAAAGGCAAATCCATTAGCGAGATGGAGGGCAACCAAAGTTTTCGCGAAAAATTGGCACAGGGGCGGATACCATTAGAATGCAAACAAACATAAGCAACAACCCAACCACTTCAGTTGAAAGTATACACTGGGCCCCCATTGCAGCCCTGGGGTAACGTCTCGACCAAGCAAAATCGTCTGCACACGAAACATGAAAAAGGGAGTGATGGGAGAAGCATGGCGGCATCATGTCGGGATTGCGGTGTCTGCACCACACCTTTCTTGCAGGAAAGAGAAAACCAGGAGCAGGGCGGCATGCCCAGGCGTGCATCATTGTCGCTTTGGCAAGCAAACCTGGAAAAATCAAAGCAAACTGCAAAATGTTGGCACACAACTTTGCATCTTGATCCGGAAACGACGGTTCCAACGGCGTAAGGCCTCACCTCACCAGTGCATTGTCCTCCGTCCAAGCAATAAAGTAATGTTGCATCCCGGCCGGAGAGAACCATGATCAACAGGGCATGTCCCTGCACGAACCACCATACGCAGTCAATGCAGGATCACATCAAACACCTCTGCAAAGTTGGCTTGAAAAAGGGACAGGGAAGTTGACCCTTGACATAACCGAGAAAACAAGCTGGATGTTCGGGGTTTGACCATGGCACCCAATTGGGGGCCCCTCTCGGTCTAATCTTCGGGTCGAACATCCGTCAACCAGAAGCTCAAGCACCAGTTGCTTCGCCAATGCATGCCAACCGCCTCACGACAGGGCGAATAGCCCAACTTCCGCCATCCCCAAAGAGAACCTATGGAAGGGCTCTGTTTGGGCCAAGAAAATTTTTCAATTTCAATAGCAGGTACCTCCGTGAGACCATTGAGCATGTCCAAGGATAAATTTCGCCTGCACAGAAAGACTGGACCCCGCAAAAATGGAAGGGTGGGTAGCAGCAAAAATCCCCACAAGGGATTAAAGGTACAACTTCAAGAAAAGCGCATGCCCAGAGCGCACGCCTGCCCCACGAAACAGAAATGCGATCACGTTTTTTGTTTTGGTCTGTAAGGTTTGGAACGGCTGAAAATTCAAGCTTTGGACGCGGTAACCGAGCACACGCCCTTTTGCAAAGCTGGGTGTTTGGAAGTTGCATCGTAGAAACAGCACAGTTTGCACGCCGAGAATGCCATGCCTGCCACACGAAACAAAGCTCCGGTCAGATTTTGAAAAGTGTCTTTTTGCTGCGTTTATGGTTTGGAAACGCTTAAAATCAAGCGTTGAATGCTTTCGTCGCCCACACGACATGGCCTTGTGGCTGCTCTCACAAACAGATGCACTAGCAGAAGCATGCGCGTAATCATCGTTCGGGCATTCATGACCGGGTGAACGGATAAACTGGTAGCCTTGTAGCATGGACGTTCTCAAATAGACAGATGAGTAGGTGCGAAACCGCAGGAGAGCTTCCTTGAGGATGTGACACCAGAAGCGACGCAGCTCTAGCATGGACGTCATCGTCGTGTGACATGGATGCTTTGGCCAATGAGTGCAAGAGATCTTTCATGACAAGGAAACCAACGGCCTAACATTTGACTCTTGAGCACAGCCAGCCTGCGCGCCTGTTGGCTGTTTGTAGGAGCCCGATAGATCTTGATGCTCCTTTTTGTCCTTTTGTAGTGGGGTGCATGCTCATGTGGTTTGGCCAAAGGTCGTAAATCCTAGAGAGCCGGAAGCACCTCAC